GAGGGTCAGGTTGGATCTTAGGAAGAATTGCTCTACTGAAAGGGTTGTCAGGCACGGGAACAGGCTGCCCAGGGAGGTGGCTGAGTCGCCATCCCTGGAGGTGTTTAAGAGATGGGTGGATGTTGTGCTAAGAGACATGGTTTAGTGGTGTTGACAGCGCTAGGACACAGGTTGGGCTCAATAATCTTCAAGGTCTCTTCGAACCAAACTATTCTATGATTCTACAAAAACCCCAGAACACAAGATGCCCAAAATTGAGACTAACATGTTATGTGACTCAGTATGAATCTGAAGGCAACTGAAAAGAATTGAGGGAAACAACCCTAGGAAGAATTCCCAAGCTTTTTCTAAAACAACTTGTAGCAGAAGAGAAAACAGTAATTTCACCAGTCTCATTATTTCATATAAATGAGACAGACACAAATGAACTGCACAGGCAGTAAATTAAGACAGTCACTCAGCAGTTCAAACTGTTCTATTTAGTTGGTGGAACAATAATAAGTTTGAGAAGCAAAAGGCTCACTTACTTGCATGTGCCTGGTTACTGATTTCCTCCTGGAGAGTCAACACACTGGTCAAGTTGATAATTCTTCTTCTAGGGGTACAGGCAGCTGTCATGTCCTTTCTAGTGTCATCCTGATCCATTTCTGTGTCTGCGTCTTCCCGCGTTCTCTTTCTGCAAGACCGAAACAAAAAGGAATTACGTTCAATTCTCCTATCCCTTAGGCAAAACACACCAGTAGATGGGATGCTGAGTGCACATGCTGTGCGCTAACAAAAGGAAATGCAGGAAATTTCCCAACACTTTTGTTGGTCAGGTTTGGGTCACCTGTCCTGTCTGCTCCTCTCTGGAGCTGCAAGTCTTTACTTCCTTGTGACCCTCTTGCTTCCCAGCACCCCCACTGCAGATGTACTAGTGACCTTGGTTATTGCAGAAGCAAGGACATGCAAGAGCCTTTCTGCATCCCAATCCCTGATAGTAACTCTAAATTTCAGGCGTTACCACTTTTAGTAGCACGCACTGTCTGCATAAACACACTGCTAAGTTCAGAAAACACAGCCTCTGACTGAAGTTGAAAAGTAAAATCAGGGAGCAGGATTAGTTCTGTTCTAGCTCAAACCAGGGCACCTTGCACAGCCTCAGGAAAGCTGAGACTTACCGAGGAGGAGGCACCGTCTCAGGAGACAGGCGTCTGGTCTCACTCAGCTCTGCAGGCATCGCTATGTCCTCCTGAACAACAGCTGTTTCAACTCGATCACTGACGTCTTCCATTTCGGCATCCTGTGGCCTCACCTGACCCTCTGGAGGTCCTGCATTAACCTCGGTCATCGCTTCGGCAGGGCCTGTACTTCGAGGGTTGTTCCCTGGCTGAAGAAAAGCATCTAATTTCTGCTCTCGGGAATCGGTGCGGACCATCTGATGCGCACAAACTTTATCGCTGGCTCCTTTGGTAACAGCTGAAGAGTTTGCTGCTGATTTTACAATTTCGCTGGAAGAACAGTCGGCCCCTGGAAGCAATGTCTTCGTTCAGATACGGAGAAGCAAAGAGGAGAGATTCAACAAGAAAACAAGAAGAAAACCACAGAAATCAGCCATGTTTCTCACAGCATCTTACTGCTCAGAGGCAAGTAACTTCCAAACCCCACAAACGGTGTCAATTGCTTAAAAACAGGCTGCCAGCTTTGCTCTTGCTGTCCACACAGCATGGATGTCACCACCGTGGCAGTTAACAAAATCATTACTTAGCATTACTCTGTGTCAAAAGGAAAAATCCTTAAGGTTAAAAAGTGCAAGGAAATTTGTTTTTTTAAATACTATAGTTATAGCTCTTATACTGTGCTCTACATAGAAAAGGAAATCATCTTCCCAATTTTTTTTTCCTGTTTGGATTAAATACAAAGCACTGTCAAACGCAACATAGAAGTTTCCTCACTCGTGTGCCTTTTACATAAACCAGGGCAGACAAAAAGCAATTTACCACATGTGAAATGTAATATACTCGTAAAACCAAAAAGACCTATCAGATACTTGACAGGAGGCTATTGAGAGTGGTTTCATATGCTTTTTCTCTCTTTTGCCAAACTGTTAACATCAGTGCATTAAAGCAATTTCATCCCCAAAACACAGAGCAAAGATTTCAAGCTGCCAGCATAACACTGACAACTATCAATCACTCTGTAGATTGTACTAATGAACAGAGTAAACAAGTAAAAACGGAGTACCCACAACAGTTAAAACAGTCCAGAGCCATGGTCTCTTCACATGTGTTCTCACCTGAGTGAAATACATTCTTGAAGAGTTAGAGCCCAATAACTTGCTTTCTATGTGTTGCTGAATGCGGTCTAGAATGCTGTCTTCATGAAGGAAATGGACCTCGTGTTTTGTAGGGTGCACGTTCACGTCTACATTCTGGGGAGCAATTTCCAGGCTGAAAAACATTTTAAAAAGGAGTTCACCTCAGCTTTCCCACGGATGGCAGACAGGGCACAAATTGGTTCGCAGGAAATTTGTCGGGCTTGGGGCCATTGCTCTGTTCAAAGAAGTCAAAATCCTGAAACCTCCTGAAGTTACACTACAGTAAGATATGTTTGGTGTGTTAAAAAACAATTACTCTGAAGAACTCTAGTCCAAACTCGCCAAAATCAGCTTATCTATATAAGCTTAAATCAACTGTACGCTCTCCATTGTGCTACTTCAAACAAACAAACAAAAAGAAATATCTTTTTTAGAAATACAATTTTTAGAAATATCTTTTACTTGAAAGGTCTCACGAGTTAATATGAAAAGAAAACAAGGCCTGTCTTAATGTTTCTTTAATGTGATTTAATTATCTCCTGCCTGGCAATTAGTTACCTCAGCACAATGCTTAATGCTGCTCTCGGGAACATGTTATTTTAAACCTACTCACCCCAGCTATATCCTTTGGACTAAATGGCCTTGAAAGGTCCCTTTCATCCCAAAACACTCTAGGAGATAGTATTAAAAGGCTACTTCTGCCTATGACTTTACCTTAAGTATAGGAAGGGATGTGTACTTTTTGGCAAATAAGCAGCATACACAGTTTCTACGGCTTTCCGCAAAGCAGCCGACTCTACCAGTCGATCTGAAAGACAGAATAAGATGCTCTTCTCAAAGAGCCTCGCTGAAATACCCTGCTACTACCACCAACTACTCTCTCAGACCAACATCTTCACAATTTCTATCTTCAAAGGGCACCTGTTATATCCAGTTTTAACCCCAAAACCTGTTTCTTCTTCATCTAAAACCAGGAATAGGCACTATTTTCTTACTGTGTTTTATGTTTAAAAGTACTTTTTTCTACAAACACTGAAATAACCAGGACACAATCATCACCCTGGTACTCCACAATCTTAAGTTACTTTAAGCCCAGTCTTAGCTGCTTTCTCCAATTTAGAGTGTGAAGCATGATGCAAATTACAAGTAGAAAACCTCCTTGAGATCTGCAATTAACTGCAGTACTTATTCTTCCATATCTTTAACAATGCTCATACGTTTTGTAGTTCTTCAGAAACTTTGTTTACCCGATTATTATGGAAGCAACGTACAACTATACAAAATGGGCCTTTTTTTTTTTTAAACTTACGGTTTATGAAGAGTAGAAATACACATTTCTTCACAGAGTAGTTGGCATTTGTGATGTAGCCTTTCATTTTAAAGGCCAGGCTTGCATCTTCACAGCCCACTTCTATCAGCTCCCTGTTGGCAGTTTGATGGAAACACACAAAAAATTAATTCTTCTGTAGGTGCAAATTTCAAACAGCACTCACGAGTAGCAATATACTGCTTTATATTTTATTTATATCACAGCTAATGAAAACATCGGAATTATTTAAAAGTTCAAACATGTATTGCTGAGCCATAAAAATTATTTAATCTTAACTGGATTGCTTCCTCTAAGTGTAACTAGTAATTCTGTGTGATTGGAGTCTGTAGAACAGTATCCGTTTAATATCTCAACGTGTAACAGTATTCATAATGTTATAAACATCTTTTGATAATTCTAATACGCATTTCACTGTTTAAGTCATTAATGGTGACAAAGATGCGTCAAAATGATCAGCAGCCAGGGAAGAACATTTTTTTTCTTGAGCTACTGTCCACTTCTGCTAGCCTGGTATTTATTGGTGGACTGGTAAGAATCCAAAAATATAGAAAAAAATTTGCATTCATTTTCTATGTCAAAACAGCAGGCTAGACTAAACAGCATCTTAAATTAGGTAAAATAAAAAGTTATACTCGAAAATATATGTTCAAAATATGTTGAAATAGGCAATTTATTCGGAATCGCACAAAGAAAAAAACTGTATCAAACGAGTGTTAGTAGTAGAAAAAACGAAATGTGTAACAGAAATCCAATGATTTCAGAAAACTTAAACCCATACAATTTCAGAAAAATTATTTTGATGAGACTTAAATGCGTAAGAGAGCAGCCTGTAGTAAGATACTCGTGGCATAGCGAGAGGCTAGGAACTTGCAGAGAACACAAGTACAGCTTGATCTCTCTCAGTGAGCACACAGAAGAGCAACAAGCATGTTTCAGTGTGGTAAAGGAAGAGCTTTGCAACTTCCCTCTTCCTTTGAATACACTAAAAAAAGTCACACGTTCTGCACGACAAGGGAGAGCTTGGTTATCTCAACACTCCCTCTTCTTTGTGATTAATCTTGAAGGAAGCAGAAAAAGTTAGCACAGCCTATGTTCTTTAAAAGAGAAAGCAGAGGGAGATTTGCTCCAAAACTTCAGGTCGGAAGGAAACTTGTCATCCACGTACCTGCTAACAGCGTTTCCAAAGATGGACCTAATGTTGTCCACCGTGGAGGCATTTGATAAGGTTCTAACATCTGACATGGTATCACCTTGCTAAAGAAA